TTGAAAGGAAATACCTCAAAACTCATATCCTATTCAATTTGAAAATCTAAAAGAATTGAACGTATTTCTAAATTCATAGAAACCATTAAAGTTACACCAAGAAGAGATCAACAGCTTAAACTGACCCATAACAAATAAGGAAAATGATAGAGTAATACAAAACCTTCTGACTAAAAAAAGCCCAGGACCAGATGGATTTACAGCAGAATTCTATCAGACATTAAAGAAGATCTATATCCAATAATACTTAATTTATTCAAAAAAATAGAAATGTTCCCTCCAGTCCAATTCCCTCTAGGATTTTGAACATAAATACATGTTTCATTTTGTCAAAGGCCTTCTCTGCATCTATTGAGATGACCATGTGGTTCTTGTCTTTGAGCCCATTTATATGATTTATGAAGTCTATTGACTTACATATATTGAACCATCCCTGCATCTCTGGGATAAAGCTAACTTGATCATGGTGGATGATCTTTTTGATGTGTGTCTGTATGAAGTTTGCAAGTATTTTATTGAGAATGTTGAGAATTTTTGCATCTATGTTCATTAAGGATATGGGTCTATAGTTTTCTTTGTCGGTTGTATCTTTACCTGACTTTCGTATGAGTGACACTGGCTTCATAGAAGGAATTTGGAAGTTCTCCCTCCATTTCTGCTGTAAATCCATCTGGTCCTGGAATTGGATGTAGATCCTCTTTAAATGTCTGATAGAATTCTGCTGTAAATCCATCTGTTCCTGGGATATTTTCAGTCGGGAGTTTTTGTATTACTGTTTCAATTTCTTTTTGTGTTATGGATCTGTTTAAGCTGTTAAGCTCTTCTTGGCTTAGTTTTGGTGGTTCCCATGCCTTTAGATATCTGTCCATTTCTTTTAGGTTTCCAAATTTAGTAGCATATACGTTTTTAAAGTATTCCCTTATAACGTTCTGTATCTTTCTGGTGTCTGTTGTGATGTTTCCCCTTTCATCTCTGATTTTGTTGATTTGGAGGTGCTCTTTCTTTCTTTTAGTTAACTGGGCTAGCGGTCTGTCAATCTTGTTCATCTTTTCAAAGAACCAGCTCTTGGATTCGTTG